AGTACTAGTACCGAACTAGAGTTAGTTAGTCAGAGAGTAGTTAGTACGTCTCGTTCTTTAACCTAACTAACTAAGACATAGGTAGGACGACTACTCTTATTATATATATATATATATATATATATATATATATATATCCATTCGCTGATCAGGTGCTCTATTCATAACATGCATAATAACAGAATCCTTGATCTACTACCAAAGTCTCATACAATTCTTATGGCTCCCATTTTGGATCTTCTTGTTTTTTTCCTTCTAAGTGCCCCAGAAAATGATCAAGGAACATGTTCTCCAAAGTAAGGGAGCTCCCCTAGTAATCGTAATGCATGATAAATGACCCATCAAACTATTAAACACTTCCAATAACAACAAAAGCTACCTCGAATAAATCTAAGAAATCCCAGACCCTCCAATCATGGCAGCAATGTCAAAGATACAGAGTTTACTCATCCTTTACTACATAAAGCAATCATTCAGAGTCTCCCATCCCTGCTTTTTTTTTCCCTGATGACCTTTGTTCTTGAGGTGATCAGGTATGGTAGGAATTTTATCAATGTGAGCGACCATCCAAAGAAAAGGATGCATACAAGGACCCATCGACTTGACTGAAAACCAACGAGGATTATCCCATTTCCAAATTCTATGTTTTCACTATAGGTTAAGGAAGGACTAGATATGCCAGAAAATGATAATAAAAAGCTCCAATAACCAATTCGCTTTGGGGCTGAATCCTTTTAAAAACACAAAGAAACCCAATTTGAAGTAATTGATGCACAGTAATTGTATTATCTTAGTTTTTTCACCAGAACTCAAAATACATTCTTTTTTCTTTTGCTTTAATAATCTCTTTTCTCTCCCTTTTAAGGGTGTGTTTGACACATGGAGTTTTTGTGAGTGGAAGGGACTCTCCCACAAATTATGGAAGACTGCTATTCCACCATTTTTTATGGAAGAGAGGTCTTCCAAAAATGAACTCATTTTAAGACTAAAAAAAAGCTGCATGGAAGGTCACCCTTCCACTTTACAGCTTCCACACAGTAATATCAAACATGGAAGTGAGGAATCAGGCCTGGGTTAAGAGAGTAGCAATTGGGTTTTCATAGCACTAAGTCTCAAGTTCCATCCCTATGTAACCTTGTCAAAAAAAAATATCAAACATGGAAGTGGGACATTTAACTCCCACTTCCAGAAACTTCCACTTATCAAACATGCCCTAAATATTTACTAATTTGATTGTTAGAACTGAATGATGGATAAAGTTACTTGATGTGGTACACACCATTCTATGTACATTAGGCTTCATGTTTACAATAAATTGTGTGTTGTATGGCACAAGCGCTCGATAATCCAAGAGCCATCTGTTTCTTTTTTGTAATATGACCAAGTAGCCCGACATTTCTCTAGCCAAACAATAGGTCTCTTGAACCATTGCAGAGCATAACAATGCAAATGCTTCCACAAACTTTTTTATTCAATGAACAGTAGCATTAACAGTACCGGTGAGTCATACCAAAGCAACAAAACAAAATTGACACTTTTTTATTACTGAATGAACTCAGAAAAAAATTACATTCAAAATAATTTACGTTATTAGTCACGGCCCTGGGTAGTAGAGGGATGGTAGCTTGTTTAATAGCATCCACCTGTAGTTGAACTTAGGAAACATGGTATTTTCTATGAGGAAACACACTGACAAAGAATGCCCAGCATCGTTTATTCTCAAACAAAGGGTTTTCAGGAATCTTTGTCTTAGCCATAAAACAGGAAGCCAATCACCAGCCAGCAAATATAAGGCATATATTCATGCAAAATGGGCTAACAGCAGCACAAGAAAATGAACAGAAAATATGTGAAAAAGAAACCACAACATCCTGCATATAATTGTCATTTATGACTCATCAATTCATAAGAATTCTACCAATCAACTTAAACAAGTTCTCCTGAAAAGTAAAAGTACTTATAGAAGTGCTTGAATAGAGAAAACATGAGACTTTGAGAGTAATTTAGACATACTTCTGCCTGAATGTACTGAACTTCTTTAACACGAAACTCTGCATTCTCGCTCTTCTCTTCACTCTCAAGCACCTCTCGAACTTCATTGGCCCAGGTATCCTTCAGATTTGGGTTATTGCTGAAAGCTGTCAGGTCAATATCTCCATCTGGTAAATAAGTCTTCAGCGGTACTGACCCGAAGGTAAACACCTGCAAATTTTAAAGCATGCTGGTAAATCTTTTAGTTTTTTATTTACTAGTTAGAATCCTTCATAGTTTTTAGCAAAAAATAAACACAGAATCAGCTTATGCCAATGGTTATATAGCTTAACTATCGGTGACTGTAAGCAACAGAAATCAAAAAGTACCATGAGATCGGTGACAAATAAACACTGACAAAAAACCCGCAACGCAAGCTAATATGATGACAATATAGTAAGGCAAATGGATAGAATAAAAAATTGTAAACGAGAAGGCAAATATTGTTAGAGAGCGAGATCGAGTGGTCAACTATACTGTTTATAGAATTGCGGCCAACAAATTGAATGACCAAAGGTATACTTTACCTTTTACAAATGCTCCTTGATAAGGGAATAATGTAGCTCCCAAGACACTTTTGAACCTCATTGACATTCCCTTGGCAACATCGCATTTGGAGAAATTCTAAAAGGAAATAATTGAGATAATGACAAGAACGCCCGCAAGTATTTTACAGCATATTACGTGTAGCTTAGAAACCATACAGAAAGCTTAACATGTTTCAATAATTTGAATACTTTCGTACTCAATAAATTTCTCACAATTTCGCCCTTTTTTTTTCTTTGCATAGGGAACAACATCAAGGATTTCAGTAATATTGTTTTCTTTTCTTTTTCTTTTTCTTTTTGAGAAATAGTCATATTGATTATCTTGCTCTATTGTAACTGACTAAAATATTGTAATTCCTCCACTCCCACTTTATCACGTTCTTCTTATTAAAGTTTCCCAAAATAGAATCAGTGTCTCCGAGGACCATATGGCAGCGACTACTCTTCACCAAACTATATTCTTCTTTCCAGTAAATGGAGCTAATATTACTATTCTTCTTTCGGATAAATACTCATAAATGTGCATGGAAGTAGTGTGAATATTTCCAAATAGCCCTAATACCAAAAAAATGCAAACTTGCATAGACGTTATGATGACACTGCCAGCAATATTATCTGGAACACCCACTGTGAATCCAAAAATCACTTCCAAAGTATTCAAGGATTCAAACAAAATTGTAAACATAAGAAAACAAATATTCAATGTAACCAAGACAAGATAATCTTTACCACCTTTAATTGAAAGATAAGATCAGAGACTTCAATTGTAACCAGCTATGAAATAACTTGAGATTAGCAACAACATGAAAGCATTCTCTTAGGATTATAACCATTGAATAAAGGGAAAATATTCTATATGGACATAGTAACAACCATGAGCCATGTCATTTGTCACCATTCAATCAATAGGATGGATGGTAAAGGAGGGAAAAGCAGGTATGTACAATTCACCAATTGAATTGTACAGTAGAACCCACTCCTCTCCATCATCATCCAACCCACTAATGGGAGATGATAACCCCATGGTCATGGGGTTATGATGAAACAGACAGAGATATGAACAAGGAGAAGAGAGAGAGAGAGAGAGAGAGAGCACATAGCAACAGCAAATATTCTAAGTACTGCGATGATTATAAACCAAATCTCACCTGACACGAAAAGCATTTCATAATAAGCCGCTGCACATAATCTGCCACGGCATTCCTTCTGTCTTCTGAGGGCTCATTGGGCTGAATGCAAGAAATCAACTCCCCCGTTCTCTCCTCCACTTTCAACCATCTTTCAGCATCGAGCACTCGGGTCACACCTGCTGCTTCATTGGGCAAGAGACCATTGGGCAAGAGGCCACTTGGCTGTGCCCACCCTTCATGATCGCCCATGCAAGTAACCTTAGCTAACCCGTGCTTCCTAATTGTTCTCCCTCTTTTGAGAGAGAACCCACAAAATAATTTCACTAAAAGTACAAGAAGAAGATACAGAGACAAAGCCTAATTTCTTTCCCCCTCTAGAGAGATAACCCACAAATTTTCTCAATAAAAATGCTCCAAAAGAGTACAAGGCCACAGCACAATACAGCTCGATCATAAGATGCTATCCACGTAACACCCCATTCAAAGCCCAAGTTCCAAATGGGCCTTTTTGATGCAAAACTCAATTGTTCCCCACTCTAACAATGAATTTCATATAAATAATGGTGCATAGAACACATAAAAAACTCTTCATTTGCCAAGAATTCTAAGCAAGAGTCACAGTTATAGCTGCCAAATGCCAATACGCTCACCAGTCTCCTGAAATATCTGTTAAATTCCAACAAATGGAAATTCATTAGGGATATAATCAATGACTAAATAGAAAAATGCAAAGGAACATCAACATTACACCTTCTTCATAAATGCTACACAAAGTTTTACAACCCCTCTCCCCCCCCCCTCCCTCCCAAAAAAAAAACACTAGAGCAGCTAAATAAAAAATAAAAACTTAAACATCAGAACACATATCAGTGTCCAGAAGAGAGACACTTGCATAGGAAATCTTCTTAAAAAGCGGAGAATATAACCCAATTTTCATACAAGCATCCGAAAGGAAAATCAAGAAATTTTGCACTGAAGCTTCATGATTCTCAAAAAATAAAACTAAAAAATAAAAGCTTCTTCAATCTGTAACCAAATTCCAACAAGAACCCTATTGAGTCAAGCTCAAGTTCACAAGCCACATTCATTTAATACCACATACTCGAAACCATTAATAGCAAACTCTGATCAAACAACAAATGATGTATAAAAGAACCAAACTACAAAACAAGCTGAAACCAAACAATGAATCAAACGGAAGTCCCAGAGCACCAATATCCAAAAACGATAATAGTAAACCATAAATTTACAATATCAAAACGAGATGGCAGATCGAAGCCCTAGCCATCGGATACCAGGAGGACTAAAAAAAATGCTAACAACAACAAAGGTTTACTCAACATCATTTTTGTCAAAATAACCATCAAAACCCCATCAATCCATTGACAACCAGAGTAATGACATGCAGAATAACATGCACAGAGACACCCAATAGCAATGCTGCAAAAAAACTGCCCTAATCGATAAGATAACAAAACAAGCAAATAAAACCCCACTAAAAAAATAGCCCAAAAATGAGAAACCACAATGAAAAGGGTAAAAAACCAACTTTCTAAAGAAGAGAAATAGCTTCACCTTTATCTTCCTATCGATGCAGAAGAAATAGAAAGGGGATTCTACGACGATGATGCTCTGATAATGGATCGGTTTCGATGGTTAATTTTGGGTATTTCTTGAGAGTGGTATTTGGGTGGATTTCAAAAGAGGGATGCGTATTGAGAGAGAGAGAGAGAGAGAAGAGAGAGAGAGAGAGAGAGAGAGAGAGAGAGAAATACGAAAAAGAACGGAGGTGCGATGGACTGTGAAAAGGCAAATGGAAAAATCTGAGGAGAAAATGAAGAAGGATCTAATAATGCATGGGGGTAATTTGTCAAAAAAGCGTGGAAAACTCTAAATGAGTTTATGAGAGAGAAAATCAGCTTTGCGGTAAAAGAGTTGATGAGAGAGAAAATTAGCAAATGAGTTGATGAGAGAGAAAATCAGCTTTGCGGTAAAAGACTTGATGAGAGAGAAAATGAGCAAATGAGTTGATGAGAGAGAAACCTAGCAAATGAGTTGATGAGAGAGAAAATTAGCTTTGTGGTAAAAGAGTTGATGAGAGAGAAAATTAGCAAATGAGTTGTTGAGAGAGAAACCTAGCAAATGAGTTGATGAGAGAGAAACTTGGCAATGAGTTGATGAGAGATAAAATTAGCTTTGTGGTAAAAGAGTTGATGAGAGAGAAAAATGGCTTTGTGGGAAAAGAGTTGATGAGAGAGGAAAATTAGTTTTGTGGAAAGAGAGTTTGATTAGAGATGAAAAATAGTTGTACAAAGGGGGTTGATGAAAGAAAAATAGCTTGGGGAAGAAGAGTTGATGAGAAAGAGGGAAATAGTTGTGGGGAAAAAGAGTTGATGAGAGAGAGTATTAGTTTGGGGGAGAGAGAGTTGATGATAAAACAAATAGTTTGGGGATTCCCTTGTCTTAGGGCTATTGTATACTGATGAGTGATGATGGCCCAATCATTTGACGATAAAATATACTCCAAATGACCAAGGGTATGAAATATGAAATTTGTTCAAAGGGAATATTGATTACATAATTTGATTGCGAAGTAAAAAATAATCTACCACATGTTTCAAAAGATGTATCAAATCTACATTGAGCCGATAAAAATAGTACGATTTACATAAAAAAATTGTTTCATGCGGGTTACACCGCATTTCTTCATATGCAATCCAGAAAGTGTAAAGCATCCATCTTAAAAATACATACAACTAGGTGTTCCATCTAAAAACAATAGAAACTAACGGTCCAAATGTTTTTTACTATAATTATTATCTCTAGTTTTAAAATTTTATTTATTTTTACATATTCATGATCTTCATGTTAGAGATCAGCTGTCCGTAAAAACTAAGTCTTAAAATCCATCTAAAAAATAGATTTATTAAGAGGCCCGCATTTCTACATATCTGGGCTTGGCCGAATAGAAATCGGGTCCTTTATATAGAAGTGTCAACTTTAAATAGATACATAGATAATGAAGTACCGTGGTGCATGTCGTTCGCATATGACGTAGTTTTGATCGATGAAACCCAAAACAAAATTAGAACTTTTGAGGGAAGATCTAGAATCTAAAGGTTTTAAATTTAACCATACTAAGACAGTATATGAAATGCAAGTTTAACAATAATAGAAGTAGAAACGATAAAGTAGTTAAGATTGACAACAATGAAGTACAAAAAAAAACTACACTTTCAATATCTTTGGTCGATAATTCAAGAAAATTGAGAGATTGATGAAGATGTTGCACACAAAATTAGAGCGAGGTGGACAAAGTGGAGATGTGCAATTAGAACTTTATAAGATTGTCACATACCAATGAAGTTGAATGGCAAATTCTATAGGACAGCTGTGAGACCAACTTTGCTCCATGGGGCAGAATGTTGGCGGATAAAAAATAATTTACCCATAAAATGAGTGTAACGGATATGAGGATATTGAGATGAATAAATGCCAAGACAATAAATAATAAAATTCGAAATGAATCAATTCGAGAGAATTTAGGTGTGGCACCAATAGACGAAAAGATGTAAGAGAATAGACTTAGGTATAATGGCTATATGTGGTGCCGACCAAGTACAGCACATATTAGGAGGTGAGTATTAGTTCAAGTTGAATGACTAAAAAGGGCAAGGGGTAGGTCAAAAATAATGTGGTTGGAAGTAATCCAAACAGATATAAGGACTTATGACCTCATTGAGGGTATAACTTTTAATAGAACAGAATGACATACCAGGATTCGTGTAGTCGATCCTTATTAATTAATACAAAACTATGATGATGATGATGATCAACTTTAATGATCAAATAAAGGTATGCCTCCATATGTTGTCAAAAGCTGGAATTCTGATGTCATAAATTATAAATTTGTAAACTTAAAGGTCCAAAAACAATGTAACTCGTGAATATCCACAAACACTTAAAACTATTGAAAAATAATAGTCCAGATTGTCTCAAGAGATGTATCATATTTAAGACTTGAATTTCTTTTTATTCATATTCATATATCTTGAAGTCGACATAATCCATTAGAGGATTTTCTAGTGTCAAAACAACCTTTTTCTATATGTTATTGGAGCCACTTCTTACTTTTATAATAGAACTTTAATGCCTCGTATGAATTTAGACTATATAAAACACCATGCCCATGCTCATACGAGTAAGATTGTGCTCCAGGTATATTTCACATGCATAAATTTAATACATGTCAATTGGATCATGTATTTAGTAGAGCTGTAGTATATTGTAGGATTTTTTTGTTTTTCATATTCAGACTTATCGAGAACAAGATCACAAATTTAAGGGCTTTTTAGGTGCCCCTTACTGTTAATGGTATAACTTTGGACTCCCAGGAAAAAAAAAATCCATCTTAGAACAATGATTAAAAAAAATAGATTGGATAGGACACTACAAACTTACTTCTACAAGTTAGGTTGTAGCTCCCTTCTATATTTCACTTGTTCAAAATAAATGAAGAGAAAAAGGATCATGTATTGCTTAAAGGGTGCACTTTGTATAGAGCCTAGGCTCTAAACAATAAAATTAGAGCCTACTTTCAAATGCTGTCGAGAAATGTGGTTTCAATACTGGAAATATTTGTGATATCCTTAAAATATATTTTCATCTTTATTTATAAAGTTTAAAGCTTCAAAAATAGTGTAGATCGACATATCCATGAGAATTTGAAAATCTTGAAAATTGTCGGTCCAAAAATGTGTTACAAAATACACTATTTCGAAAACTTAAAATCCATTTTTTTTTCTCATGTTCATGTATCTTGATATCGAGATGATCGATTTGATGATATTTGGGCAACAAAACAACCTCTTCTAGTGAAATTTTTTAGAAATACTATAATTTGATTGTTTAGAGCCTCGATTCGATATAAACTTTTCCCTTTCTTAAACCATAGCATCTCGGAGGTTAGCCCCCGATTTTGAAATATTAATTGCGATTTATCCCTAAGACGTGAAATGTCTTTCCTAAATGTTAGGGTTTCAATTGGAGACACCCTTGTGTCATTCAGATTGGTGGCACGTCAGACTAGAGCTTCCAGTTCTGTTTAGTGTTTTTTTTGTATTATCTTCATCCAATTCTTTGTTGTCTTAAAAGCGGATTAAATAATGCACAAGGTTTTTACGAGTTCCGGATTCATGCGTATAAATGTGATCCCTCAATAATTCATTTTTTAAATGGACTTTGGGTCTAAATTTTAAAGAATGTAGAACCTCTAACATAGAGGCCATATATATATATATATATATATATATATATTGTGGTTTCCATAAGATTTCAACCTTCAACAATCCAATTAAGGCGCACCTTCAAATTTTATCATAATATGTAATTTTGGTGTAAAAAGTTCTTACGATTATTTGAAATTCTATTTTTTAATCTAATTATAAAATTCTAAACTTCCAAAATGGTTAAAATCAAATAGATCTATAAATATATGAAAATCTTGAAAATGGACAGTCTAGATAATGTGTTGCAAGACGTACTATTTTTGGGATTCAATTGTTTTTTTCTTTATATTCATATATCTCGATGTCTAGATGATCAATTAGAGGGTTTTTCAACATTAAAACAATATTTTCCAGTGGATTTTTTAGTTGTATACGTAATTCTACATTTGAAGGTTGCCACCTTCTTGTTTTTTTGACAAATGTTATTAGTTCTTTATTGATGATAGATTGCAGTTACATCACTCACTTACAAAATTATCCTAATTAGAAAAAGAATCCATACCCACCCCTCTTTTGGCTAACCCATCAGCAAGAACGTTCGATTCTCTATACACAAGATGAAATGATAAGGACATAACTCCTTCAAAATTCAACACTTGAGCCCAAATCGAGTGCATCACCCAAAGAACTCTTTCTTCTTTTTTACACCATCTGATCACATTGAGGGAGTCCCCTTCGACCATGATACTTGGACCCAGATTCAACTCTTTAATAAGGAGGAGTCCTTTTAAAAAACCTCTAAACTCGGTCATATTAGTCGTGGCCACACCATTAGGTCCAGCAAAGGCCAGAACAATTGCTCCAGCACAATCACGAACCACATCCCATATTCTTGTGTCACCCAGATTTCCAAGGGAACTGCCATCGAAGTTAAACTTTAACCAACCTAGAATTGTAGGTAACTACCGGCCAGCAGATCTAGATTTAACACTCTTAAAGAGCATCAAATGACCGAGGTTAAGACGCATATCAATCTCACTACTACCTCTCCCTTCCTCAGTAACAGATAGCCAACACCATATTTTGTGGATAATACGATGAGTCAAGCACTCATAGGAGAACCCAATACCCTCAAAGGTTCGTCTATTATGTTCTTTCCAAAGCTGCCAACATACAACTCCCCTAATGATTTGCCAGATTCTTGCCCCGACTTTTGGTATGGCAACAAAAACAAGTTGAGAAATAATACCCAAAACACTCTGAGGAAGGGTCGTATAAAATCCAAACCTTCTGAAAAAATAATTCCAAAGGCATGTAGCATATTGACAATGAATAAATAAATGTGAAATGGACTTACCATCCTCCTTACACATTAGACAAACATTCGGTAAAATCTTTCCTCTTTTGATAAGGTTATCAATAGTGATAACTTTATTTTGCCCAGCCAGCCACATAAAACATTGTACTTTATGAGGAATGGGCCACTTCCAAATTTGAAAAATTTGGGGAAGCGACCATCTATAGCGGTCATGGAACAAAATAGAATACATAGTTTTAATCGAGAACAAGCCGTCCTTACTATACTCCCATATCACCTCATCATCAATTTTATCATAAAGAACCACTTCATTTAGTTGAGAAAACAGCCTTGAAACCTATTCCACAAATTGGTCATTAACACAATTATATGGA